GGGAAAGAGAGGGAAAGTGAAACAGCAATGCATCATGGGACATGGTCACACTGCTATCCCTTCTCTTCCATCGCCTTCCTTTTGGGATTTTGGGCATGCATGCACACATATCCAATGTGTTTCTCAAATGGTCGGGGCCAGGACTTGAACTGCATGGTTGGTTGTGTGGGATCCAGCTGCCTTAACTACCAGTCCATATGCCAGCCTTCCTTGTTTCTTATGCTAATTTTCTATTCCTCTCTCACTAGTTCATGACTCTCCCTTGAGCCTCTACCATTACTATAGAACTCATGTCACTGGGGGGGAGTTTCTTTCATTATGGCTAAACATACCAGTTTACATGAGTAATGGTTCCATGTAGCCCTTGGTAAGAAACCCTGTCCCCTGCCTCTGCTGCTGCTTCACCCTGTGTATTCCCTCTTCCTTTCTCTTGTGTTGCCTCCTGGAGCTGATGCCCCTCCTTGTGTGGTTTACTCCTTCACGTTAGTGGACCCCATCTTCCAGTAGTTTGCTGAGAAGGTGCCTGTGACTAACAAGAAGCAACTGATTCACATGTGGAACAGGCACCTTTGCAGACATGGGGTGGGGGTGTGTGGCAGAAAGTAGGCAAAGACAAAAAGGCCTATAGGTCCCTTCTCGCTACGTCAGCAGAATAGCTGCCTTTAGTTTCCAAAGGGGATCTGGATTTGGGCACCAGGTAGTGGTGAAAATGGGTACTAAATGAAAGATGGCATAATGATGGGGCATCTCAACCCCCCTTAGTCCCTGTAATGCTAGCATCAGGTTGATGTCCTCCCACTCCTCACCTTGAGACATTAGAATGTTCTCAACTAGGAGCTAACATTCCTGACTCCCAACAGGATACTTGTCTGTGTGTGTGTCTTCGACCAAACTTGCAGTTGGTCACTGGCAGGGAATGGCAGTAACAAGCTCACTGGAGGAGAGTCATTGTGGGTTTTTTTGTTTGTTTTGTTTTTGTTTTTTTTTGGGGGGGGGGCATTTTTGGTCCCCAAAGAAGCTCAAAGATAGAATGAGCCTTGATGTTAGCGCCCTGTCTGATTTATTTTTGTGTTCCACCATGCTTTGTACCCTGTAGGCACCGATGAATACTTGCTGAATAGAAATTACCTTCTTGTGCCTTTATGTGTTATTTGGGCTGGTCACATTGCACTGTCTGCTGTTTGGAAAATTAGGGTCTCACCTCTTTGCCCACATGAGGTATTGTGAAGGGTCTTTGCTGCACACGAGCTTTTCTGTTTTCTTTTGAAGGCATATGCCATTTTTATTGAGTTAGTAAGCTTGTTAGATCACTACTTCATGCCTCCGGGCAGTCCTATGTAGCATCTTCTGTGGTAACGAGCAGGAACTCCATGTTCCCAGGAATGCATTCCCGGCACCTGCTTATCATCATCCTCAGAAATCTGCCAGAATTCACTTGTAAAGCAAAATGGTTGGTAAGCTGGAGAGAAAGGGCAGGAGGGATGTAACTAGTCAAAGTTTTTTGTTTTGTTGATTATTTTTTAAGCCACACCCCTGCCCCTCCCAAATAGTACCATTGAGAAGACCGTGTAGGAGGTACTGACAATTTTTCCTTTATCACTTGAAAAGGAAAGAGATGGAACCTGGCATAGGCTTGGTCAACTGAGCAGGGAGGAAGCAGTATACCCTTGTTTTGTTCCTTTGTCACCAAATTTTCCAAAACAGGAATTAGCTTAATTTTGAATTGGACTGGAAGACAAATTGCTCTGAATTTGAGACCATGTGTGGAGATGGGATTTGGAACTTTTGGTTCTTCTTACCTAGTGTTTCCGGTACTGGACTCAGGTTTTCCATTTTGGCTGGGGAAGGCAGATGTTCCCATTCAGGTATCGGGTTAAATCTCTGGCCTTCCTTCTGTGATGTGGGCTAGGAAAGCGTTCCATGACTTCCTGACAGCTGGTCTACCTGGAGGGGCTGGAGCACCCCTAGAGTGAGACTGGCCTGACTGATATGGGGGTTCATCACAATGGAGGGTGTGGGGGATAGCCCTGAGCAGGACCTCACACCTCCTCTGTGAGCTAATTTGGAATCTTTAGGGAGCCCACATGAGTCACAGCTCACTCAGCGCCCCCCTCAGGATGAAGGTAACAGCCTTGTGAACCCTGGGCCTGGGCTGAGACCACCACATCTGAGGCATGGCTCCAGCACTCTGATTCCTGGCACCAGCCATGCTGCTGAGGAGTGGCCCAGGCTTACCATCGCCCTCAGCCCTCAGTGGCAGCGCCAATCACTGCCCAGCAAGGTAGGGGGTGACTGTCACTGCATCTCTCCAGCCCTCACACATTCTTGGGGTCTTCTGGGAACTGTACTGTCCAGTAGGCAACTACCTGAAGTGGCTATTTCAATTTAAATGAACATGAAATATATTTAGAAATTTAGTCCCTCTGTCACATTTGTCACATTTCAAGTGTGTAATAACCTCCTGTGACTAAGTGACTGCCAATATTGGACAGCAGTGACCACTTGGGGGTTACCCAGGCCTTTGCCTCTCATGACCTGCTCTACTTTGACCATGTTGCAATGCTGTGACTCTATGGCTCCCATTGCCTGGACAGCAAAGGTCACACTCCTTTGGTCTGCCTCCCTCCAGCTCTTCAGCCTCCCTCCTAGGACTTGTTTCTCTTTTACTCTGGGACTTATTGCCCCCTCCCCAGAGAGGCATTAGAACCTTTCCCCCTTCTCTTCCCATTGCAACCTAAGGAAACTTGGGCCTTTGTGAGAGTGCCTTTGTAGATTCCCTTTGCCTATGTGTGGTGCAGGTGTATATATGAGTGTGTGTGTGAGAGAGAGAGAAAGAGAGAGATTGCTTCTAGTGGACAAAAGCTTCTTGTACAACTTGCACATACAATATTTGAATATATGAGCAAGGTGAGTGTAACTGGATGAGACTCAGCCAAGCATCTGATACAGAGCAAAAGGCACTCTGGGATCTTGCAAAGAACTCTGGGTGTGTGATCTTCCACCACACACACACCCTCTGTCTGATCTGCAGCTTGTGGATACTGATAGTCTCTGAATGTAGCAGCCCAAGTGCCAGTGTTGGTTCTGATTCCCTGGCCTGGGAAGAGCCCCTCAAGAGCTAGTTGTGCTGGGCACTCTGGAGATGGGGTGTCCTGGCAGGCTTCTTGTTAAACACCCAGGGATGGTCTTTGGCAGGGTGGACACTGAAATAATGGAAGGAATGTTCAGATTCCAAGCTAGAGGGTATGTAATATACATTCAGAACACAAAGTACATGTGGCTTCAACTGACTGAACCAAACCTAGACTGGACTTCTTGATCTCTGGGCTCCTAAGCTGTTATTTTATTATTATTTAAATTATTTTTATTTAGCTTTATTTATTTGCTTATTTTAGAGAGAGAGAGAAAGAAAGGGAGAAAGCAAGCTGCCGGGTCTGGGGCTCAAACTGTTGTTTGACATGTGGAAGTCCAGCACCCTTAACCACCACGCCACCTGCTGGCCCCCTAGGCTGTTATTTTTACAATCAACTTTTCTATCAATTACATGCAGCTCTTTTTCACAGTAACTATGGCCAAACTGACTTAGTCACTGGGACCAACACTCTTTGTACTACACCCAGGGATTTGTTTTCTTGCTTAGCAGAAGATCGTAGACTGCAGCTACTGGTTTGTCAGCTGAGTTGGAGGTGAGACCATTGCTTTGTCAAGGGCTGTTTTGAGAAGCTGCAGGTATCTCTCTGGAGGATGAAGAAATCCTTTCAGAATGTGGAGTGAACAGATGAACACAGAGGCCTTGTGGCTGCAGCACGTGTCCGCCTTCAGTGCTGTGTGACCGGTTGGCAACTTGCCAGCATGCATGTATTCCCGAGCAAATGGACCTGCTAAAAATAAGCAGGCAGCTATTCAATTCCAACAGATTCAAAATAGCTAAGAGTCCTCCCCACCAGCCCTAGGCCAGAGCTCTACAGCATCCTTCTGGAAGGCTTTTCCCTGACTAGAGATGGGCCTGCCTTGAGTGCCCTGGGCTTCAGTTGCAGGAGGCTCTGGGGAAGGAGGTGGCCTTCAGTTAGCTTGTGAGTGTGAAGGCTTTTGGACCTGCAGTGTTCAATGCCACTTAAATCTTGAGAGCTTCAAATTTAAACAAACACAAAACCCAAAGAGAGCAGCACTCAAGAAGTAAATGTGCCCAGAGAGGGAAGGAAGGCAGCAGAAAGCCTTGTAAGACTGCAGTATGTATGTGTGAGTGAAGGTGGCCTTAGCCTGGTGTTCAGGAAGAGTTGGCACACCCACTACCACCTCCTGTGGCACTCTCAGGCCATGGAAATTGAGGAAAAAGGACAGTTTACCAATTTCCAAGAAGTCCGACTGGGCTGGTGGAAAGCTGACAGTCACCTTGCAGAGCTCCGTGTGAGGTGTCTCTGTGCAGACGGCTCCTTTAGTGAGACCCAGCAAGGATGGGTGGGTTGCAGACAAGGTCTCTGCTGATCCCAGAGCTTGTGCTTCTGTTCTTCATGGTGGATGGCTCCTGTTTCTAGTCACAATCACCAGGCGATAAGGTAAAAATGGAACCATGTCTTTCTCTACTCTGGGAATCACATACCTCTGAATCAAGTGCTGGTGGAGTGCTTCAGGCTAGGCAGTTCCTGTTCCTGGAAGCAGTCATGGAGAAGAAGGGCCACTTGCCAGGTTGAAACAGAATCAAAAGCAGCAATACCTGGCTCCTGGTTCCTCAGGGTTCAATCCCAGGTTCCAGTTCAGAGTGGCAGGTGGAGGCTGGGAAATGTTGGGCACTGAGAATCCAGATAGAACACACTAGATTCTCTGGACTGGGTGACCTGGCCTCAGGGAAGTAGTATTCAGTACTTTATAGGAGGCTCTCCTAGCATAGCAGCGGGCGTTCGGCTTAGAGATGTTACAGAAACTCTGCATCCTGGCCTGTAATCCTCAGCTGAATAGCTACAACTAATTGTAGGGGCTCGAGAGGGTGGTTCTAGAAGCCTAGAGCCTCCATTCTCTGGGCACAAGCTAGGCAGGGAGGTTTGAGTGGGAGAGTGGTAGCAGTGTCCTGTGAGTGGCAGAGCACTCCCCACCTGGGACATGGTCACACCACCCCTTCTCAATTTCTCCATACTGTTGGGGTTTAGGCCAGAAGCATACATGGCCCCTGGCATGTTTTTCAAGCCACCAGGACCGAACTTTGAATCACGGCTCTCTCAACCACTAGGCTACAGGGCCAGCAGCCTAGAGTTTTGGTTTTCAGAGTTACAGTTTTTGCAGACAGACTTAAAATTTACTGACATGAGAGGTTCTAGATACAGATATTCTAGAATACATCCATACATCCATCACACACCTCTAGTGAGAGGTAACCCTGCTTTTGCAAAGCGCTTAGTGTGTGTGTGTATATATATATATGTATATATACACACACACACATACATACATATCTCAGCTAATCCTTGTAGCAACCATTCCTTAAGAGATGTGTGCAGGCCAGCTGGTGGTGTAGTTAAGGCAGCTGGATCCACATGGCAGATCATATGGTCTAGTTCTCTGACCTGGCAGCTTGGAAAATATGCCAGGCACTTATGCATGCATGCCCAAAATCTCAAGAGGAGGGAGAAATGGAGGAGAAGGGATTGTAGTGTGATCATCCCCCCAAGGGGTGTTTCCTTACTTTCTTTTCTCTCTCTCTCTCCCTGGCAAGTACATATGCCCAAAATTAAAGAGAGGGAGAGAGAGAGAGAGAGCTGTGTCTCCATTTCACAGATGAAGAAAATTGTCTTTTTTCCATGTCTACTGTCTTCTAGGTCCTCCTTGTTTCTCCTTGTTTGGACCTACCCGACTTGGGTCTCTTAGTTCTGTTTGCTCAATATATTGTTTATCCTGTTTCCAGAATCATCCCTGGAAACACCTGCAAGGTTTAGTATTTGTGCCTTGCAGACAAGGTTCTGGCTCTCTATGGTCTCCAGAATAGGAATCTGGATGCAGTACAGGCTACACGTTGTCTGCACGTCCAGACTCTGCGGTGGGACACTAAGACATCCTCACCGACCCCTCTAAACTACTTGAATTCTGCTGGCCTGGATCTTCATGCTGCTGTTTGTTTTGTCAGACCTTCACCCCAAGCATCTCTTATCCTTGCAAAATCTCAGTCATCCTTTGTTCTGTCTGTTGCTGTGTAATGAACTAGTTTTATTGGCTCAGGATTTTGTAGGTGCCTGTGAAGGACATAGACACATGTGGATTCCAGGAGTGCTTAAAAATGCTCTGACACCACCTGAATTGATGAAAATGTTCTGGAAATTTAGAGCACTAACCACACTAAGCATAACTAGCCTCTTGGGGCAATGTAGGGAGAATTTGACATGGTGAAGTGATGGTTAAAGAAGAGAGTGTTTCATTTGTTTCAAGGCAGTGTACTGAATTTGGGAGCAGAGGGGTGGTGTCTCTTCCTGCCCCCTCACCTCCTGTGAATCACTCAGAATGCGTGGGCATGCATCGAGAGAGGTTTGCGTCTTCTGGAGAGAGGGGAAGGGAAATGGACAGCTCCAGCCTTACCTGTTGAATTCTCTCTTGTGTGCAATCGTCTGTTCTTACTTGTCTCTCATTACATCCCTTCTCCCCCTCCTCCTGCTCTCTCCCCAGGTGTAATTACTTCAAGTCTCCAGAATGGCAATCCAGTTCCGTTCACTCTTCCCCTTGGCGTTGCCTGGCATGTTGGCACTCCTTGGCTGGTGGTGGTTTTTCTCTCGTAAAAAAGACCAGGTCAGCGACCATGATGAGAAGGCGGAGGCCTGTGCTGTGGAGCTGAGGGCTGACTCTGCCGTCAAGGAACCACTCTCCATGGAAGATGCCTGTCCCAGGGGAGAGTCCACAACCCCCAATGTCACACAGCCACCAGATAAAGAAACGCCCACTGCAAGCAAGCCTTCCACAGAGCCCCCCACCTTGCTGCGCACACACCCGGGCTGTCGCAGATCAGAGTCCTCAGGCAGCCTTCCTCATGCCACAGACACCAGACCACGACCAGGAACACGCAAAGATGACAGTGCAAAGCTGGAACTAGCCCTGATAGGTGATGAAGCCAAATCTGTCCCTTTGGAGTATCCCCTCCCATCCCCGAAAGCTGCACCATTCTCCCACGAGGCATCTGAGATGTGTAAGCAGGAGCCCATGTTTGGCAGGACATCAGGGAGGGGCCGGCCAGGCCAGTCTGTGGCCCTTGCAGAGAAGCTCGGGCCTGGGGAGAAAGCAAGGGAGACAGGGGGTACTGAAGGGACTGGGGATGCAGTATTGGGGGAAAGCATGCTTGAGGAAGTTCTGTTGTCCCAGGAGCAAGCCTTGGAATTGGAGAACAGCAAAGCACTCAGCCTTGCCTCCTTGGGAGGAGGGGGAGAAGAGGGGAGGGGCAGCCCAGCCCAGGCTGTTGGGCCAGGGCAGAAGGAGGAGTATGCAGTCGGGAAATTGTTAAGTAGCTTCATTGAGTCGGCTCACATGGAACTGGCTAAGGATGAAGAGATACCAGCACCCCGGGTCAGAGGTGACAAGGCCAGGGACAGAGACCTCGTGGGAGAATTGGGCAGAGAGGAGACTTTGGAGAAAAATGAGAAGATTGAGCAGGCTGCCTTCGAGATCATCTCCAAGGTGATCCTGGAAGCAACCGAAGAGGTGCTGGCCACCACGGTGGGCAAGTTAGCGGGCCGCATGTATCAGGCCACGGCCAGTCAGCTCCATGAGCAGGAGCAGAGCACTGCCCCAGGCAGCCAGAAAACTGTCCTGGGGCAAGCCGCCGCAGAAACCACTCCGGCCACGGCAGAGGCAGCCTCAGGCCCATCAGACACTGCCGTCCTCTCACCAGCCCAGCCAGCAGAGGACCTGCCATCACCAAAGACCTACGTGAGCTGCCTGAGCAGCCCTCTGAGCAGTCCCACCAAGGACAGTAAGCCAAAGAACTCCGCACACCACATTGCCCTGGTGCCCTCCACACCACCGGCCAGTCCCCTCCGGGAGTCGCTAGACCAGGCAAGCATCCTGGTAGAAGATGTTGCCTGTGTCACCTACGTGTCAGACAATAGCCAGAGTGTCCCTTCAGTGGCCTCTTCAGGACAGTGCTCAGATTCTGTCAGCACTTCAGGACTTGAAGACTCCTGCACAGAGACCAACTTGAGCCCCAGTGACAAGGCCATCACCCTGCCGCTGCCAGAAAGTACTGTGCCCTTTAGCAATGGGGTGCTGAAGGAGGAGTTGTCAGACTTGGGGGCTGAGGATGGATGGACCATGGATGCAGAAGCAGATCATTCGGGAGGTAGGAGAGTCTTGGGGCTCATGTCAGAGGATCAGGGTGTCTTCCTCTATTAGGGGAAGGCTGCCCTCCCACCTCTCCCTTCTGCAACTTCTCTTCACCTCTGTCCCAACTGGCCTGCAGAGTAGAGCACAGCACAGAGCTGGTGGGTAACAGAAGTTAGGCTGCCCTCAAACCCACGGAGCTGTAACTTGGGTCACTAGGCAATGACCCTTCTCTAAAGCCCTCCAGAAGGGACCCTTCAAAGCTAGCCCACTCTTTAACCTTAGCATGCGTCTCTGTCTTTTAAAGGCTGACCCCCTAAGGGCTTTTCTTAATGAAGAGGCTTCCTTAGCTTTACTTCCCTTGAGTGCCAAGTATGGGTGAGAGTTTCTGATGATTTATTTTCTTTTAATCATGTGCTTGTTCCCATGTCTTCACTTGCTTTCCTTCTCCAGAAGCTCTCCCAGGGTAAGTGCCCTAAGAATGGCCAGAGCTTTGAATACTTGGGGGCGGCTCGAGCTTTCCTGAGTTGTTGCTGTCTCCTGTTCCTTCGCAGAGAGCCTCAGCCATTTTCTTTCTGTGCAGCTGCAGTTCCACCCCTGGGAAAGAGGGGCACTTTGATAACGAAATGTCCAGTGGGTTTTTCGAGTGCTGACCCCCGCGTAGACAGTTCAGACCGCTAACTTACAGGTCAGCAGCTCCTGACCCTGCTTTGCAGCTACTCTGAGTGCTTTCATTTGTCTCACAGAAAGATGCCACGAATTCCCCAACTGGCTCTCTGACTTGTTTGTCCTGGAGCCGTTCCCTTCCATTTCAGCTCCAGGAAGGTTGGGGATCTTTCCTGGGAATCTTACAACTTTCAGAGCACCTGGTGTGTATCACACACTACGCTTTGTCACCTGTAATATGCTGTTTTAAGACACGACTGTTTTAAGTACCTGTAAAAGAGAAAAAATATCACCGATCATGATTATAAAGGGCCAGTAATGTAAGATGCATTCTGACGTCAGGGTTACATGTTAAAAGCTTTTAAAGAAATTGTATCTTAAAGTAGATGAACATTTTTTAAGAATAAAGGAGCCCTTTAGACTGCTGTCCTTGAAGCATTATAAGTCCCTCAGCCTTGTCTCGCAACTGTAGATTGATTGTAGTACTGATAGCTAATCAGACGTGTTGAAGGCTTCTGAGTTTAGGCAGAAGAGTAGGCTATGGCTGAGCGTTGGTGCTGGGTGGGGAGATTTAAGGAGAGCAGACCTAAGTCTGGTAATACCAGCTCTCGAGCACCTAGGCGATGCCATGTGCATTCTCACCTCAGCCCTGCGTTGAGTGTGAGGAAGATGATGCCAAGAGGAGTCCAGGGAGCACCCAACTGAGGTTGCTGGAAGTGGCCTTCTAATGTAGCCTGCTAGCATCTTCCTGGGGTGGCTCTCAGCTGCTTACGGGAGCAATTGGGGTGGTAGGTACTGGTCAGCTCCATTCTCTTGGGACCCGGGGCAGAGTATGAGCATGGCTCCTGCCCTGAGTTTGTTCTGCTTCTGGCAGGCCAGCCATGCAGCTTCCCTCAGAAGAGTGGATTTCCCTGTGCGAGCCCCTGGTATGGAGGGAGGAGGTCACTTTGAAGGTGACTCTTCTTGGGAACGGAATCTCTATGCCTTAGTCCTCTGCATCCAGATAGTGCTTGGATTATGCCCAGGGTTTGGAGAAACCATGTTGAAAATAACCTAATTAGAAGACTCTCAAGAGTGATCTATTTCTGGCAATTGGCCTGCCCATATTGAAGCCAGAGCCACTTCTTCTAAACTGTCTAG